AGTTATTTCTTTTGGACAGGAGTAAAGTTAAAAGTGCAAATGAAAGGAATCTTTAAATGTTTTATTTTTAAAACTAATGACAAATGATGGCATAGTTCCAAAGAAATTCACTCTTGATGGCCCTAATATGGCTGGGGATGGAGGAAGAACCATAAATAATATTCATATACTCTTATCAAGTAATTTATACTTCAAAGAATTTTATCCCAAGTTAAATATTAAATGAATGAAAGCAAAAGGACACACAGATAAAGTTGTTAATGTACCAATGCCTCCCACCTTGTCCATACTCTCATGAATTCCCTACCATGCTACTTCTACTCTCTCCATACAAACTCAACTCCCTCCAGGGCCATCCCTCCACCGAAACTACTCTGCCATACTGCCAAATACAACATTTTCAGTCCACATTTTTTCAATCTCTCAAAGTAACATTCAATAGAGCTGACCAATCCTTTCTGGAAACATATTTACCTCCAACACTGTAGGAGGTAACAACACTGCCTCTACTCAAATTTACACATTCTCCTTAGGAAATCTTATGTCTTTAAATATGATTTATAATCTGGTGACTTTCAAATTTGTGACTGTAGTTCAGATCTCTTCCCTGAGCTTTAGATATGTATATCCAACTAACTGCTTTCCGAAAAAATTTCACTTAGGATGTCTTAACCATCTCAAACTTAACATGTCTAAAACAGAACTCTTGACTTCTCCCCTATACAACCTGCTCTTCCCAGTTTTCTGGATCTTGAATAACTGGCATCATTATTCAGCAAGCTACCACAACCAAAAACCTGAGAGTTATAACTGATTCCTCCCTCTTTCCCTTATGTCCACATTCAATTCAGCAGTTACTGGCACCTCCAAAACAATTCTGAATCTACTTCTCTTTATATCAGCTGTCATCACCCTAGTTCTGAGCCATCATCAGCTGTTGTGAGACCACTGCAAGAGCCTCCTACCAGCCTCCCTCCACTCTTCTGTTTTTGGCCCTCCAGCAACCCACCCCTTAGCCAAAATGATCTTTTTGAATGTAAATCCTATCATGTCACTCCCTCACTTAAAATCCTTTAATGGCTTTCCTTGCATTTACTGTGGTCTACAAGTCCATGCCTTCCTTTCGACCTTATCTCACTGCCCTCGCCCACTGATCAATGTGCTCCAATCACATAGCTTTTCTGTCAGTTCCTAGATCATTTCCTAGCACAGGATCTTGGGGCTTTCTGTCTTTCTCTTCCTGTGGCACATTTCTGCTTCTTTACATAGCTGGCGTCTTCTCATACTTTAGGTCTCAGTTTAAGTCTATTCTCCTCAGAGAAACTTGTCTAGGCTCCCTTTCAAAAGTAGGTCACACCTAAGACAGTCCTCTTTGTATTTCCTTGATAGCACCATGCAGATTACTTACTTTATTACTCTCTATCTACCCCTGCTACTGTGTAAACTCCTGAGGATAGAAACACCTTGTTTTCTATTACAACCTCAATGCCCAGTATAGTACCTGAGATATAGCAGGTGCCCAATAAATATTTGCTGTTATCACTGAATAGCAAAAAATTCGAAACGATCAAGATGTCCAACTATAAAAGAACATTTTAAATGCATTATGCCACTTCAATGTGATGGATTGTTTTGCAGTCATTCGTATTATTTAGGTCATTAAATATGAGATATCCAAGTTCAAATCAAAAGTGTAGTTTCTTATATCTCAAACAAGCAGCAGTACAATTAATCAAAGTATGTGCCTAAACTATCGACACAGTTTTTCCATCTTAATGGTAGCTTGTTTATGCCAGCAGCAAAAAAGCCAGGAAAGCGAGTGGCAATGAAATCACCAAAGGCATTTTTCACAGCTTGTTGAGAACTGAATATTTTTCCTTATAAGAAGTGGTCCGAAGCCTGGAAGAAGTGGTAGTCAGTTGATGCAAGGTCTGGTGAATATGGTGGATGACAGAGTTTCCAAGTCCAGCTTCTATAGTTTGAGCAGCATTGTTTGTGAGACATGTGGTCAAGCACTGTCTTACAAGAGGATTGGCCTGTCTCTGTTGACCAATCTTGGCTACTTAATCGCAAGCATCCTCATCATTTTGAACAATTCGTTGCAGTAGACATCCGCTGTAATCGACTGACCAGGTTTCATGAAGCTGTAGTGGATAATACCAGCACTGGACCACCAAACAGACACCATTAGCTTTTTTTGATGAATATTCAATTTTGGACTGTGCTTCAGCACCTCACCTTTATCCAACAATTGCGCCAAACACTTGTGATTGTAAAAAAGAATCCGTTTTTCATCACTCAGAACAATAGGTAGAAATGGTTCACCTTTATGTTGTGACAGCAAAGAAAGGCAAGCTTCGAGATGATTTCTCTTCTGACATTTGTTTAACTCACGCGGAACCCATCTATCCAGCTTCTTTACTTTGCTAATTTGTTTCAAATGGTCCAATATTGTTGGAATAGCAACGTCAAACCTTGCTGCTAATCATGTGTAGGTTAGGATGGATTCACTTCCACTACAGCTTTTAGCTCATCATTATCCACCTTGGTCTCAGGTTGCCCAAGTGGCTCATTTTCAAGATTAAAATCATGAGAATGGAACTTTTCAAACCATCAATGACACACTGTGTGTTCATTAGCCACATTCTTCCTAACACTTTGCTGATATTTGGAGCTATCTGCGCTGCATTGGTTTCACAGCAGAACTCATATTCAAAAATAACACGAATTTTTGACTTATACATGGTTTCACAAAAATTGCTCTAAAAAAAAATTTGAAAGATAATCACAAGCCAAAACGTGCACTTGAAAGACTGAGGATGTACCTTCACAACAAAAAAACAAGAAGGGTCAAAGTGAAATGTCAGAGACATCAATTGTCAAACTTAGTATGTAAGGAAATCGGACATTTCATAGTTAATAACCTAGTATGTCAAAAGGTAGTTACAATTACATAAATTTTTGTAACTTCACAATTTGTTTGGTTTGGCACAAAAATTCATTTGAAACATATTTTTATTTCCTTCATAACACATTTACCTCTAAAGGACGAAGGTTCTTGAAGAGCATTACTTGCCAACCTAGCTGGTCCACAGAATACCAATACAGTGACCGGTGTCACTGCTGAACAACATCTGATATTAGCTATTCTATGAGCTCTGGTCATTTCATCATAAATGAGCCAATCTGTGGGCAGTGCCTGAATTGCTGCAGCTTGACCATTGGCTGGAGGAATCTATTAAGAGAATAAATCAAAAAACTGTTAACTGTATTTATCACATAATTTATTGGGAATATTTTAAAGATATAAAAAGTTCCTCGATGCAACAGATGATGTATATTAGTACCCAAGCAAAAATTAAAGCAAGTCAATGTTGATGTATTTTGTATAAAAATCCTCATTTCTCAATATATTATCTCTTCTAAGATTCAAAGTTTTGTTCCAATGTTTAATTATATGTATATAACTAATTAATTGCTTAAAGCAGGTAAGTACTTGGAGCATTTTTTATTGATTTTCAACTAGCTAAATCAGTTTCACCTCAAGGCCTAAGAACATTAAAAGTGTTTTTACCTTTTTATATTGAGGCTGACTGAGAACTGAAGTGGGATGAAATCGTACTTTTTTCTCCTTTGGCCCTGTCAATACTACATTCTCTCTGTCCACGTGGACTAAATTAGGATACATGCCTGCCACCAATGCAGCTTTAACAACAGCCCAGTTCTCAGAGTTTGTGTTAACATCCCGAATGTCACCACCTCCTCGTGCTCTAACAAAACCTAGAAAGGAGGAAAAAAAACCACACCAACTTTTCCTATTGTGCAAAAGGTACTTTTAAATTTGTGTATTTTTTACAAAAAAAAAAATATACAAATCATGTAAGTTTAATGACATTTAAATTCCACAATAATTAATAGACTTTCCTCTGGAAAATTATTTAAAGTATAGAACCAATGTTCTAAGAAAGGATAGATCTGCTCAGGCTAGAGTAAGTACAAGATTTATTGGGAGTTCAAGGAATTCTTAAAAACGTACATTCTTGCAGTAAAGTACTTCATAAGCTGCTGCCAGAAACATACCAAGTTCACAGCTGGAAACTCAAACCACTCTTCTGACTGGTATTAACATTTTTGTTACAACAAACACTAATTCTAGAGGTGAAATCAAGTAAATATATGGTAATTCTTGCTTAAATTTCAAAAGTTCTTCATATTTCCCAAATTTAAGACAATTTTTAAATCCTCTGGTTCATTCCTTATATTACTTTGGCACTTCAGCTAATCCGTGGATCCAGGCTCTGCTACTTTTCTTTTATCACTTCAATGTACTATGCTTACTCAAAAAAAGAATTCAAAGAAGCAATTCTAAAAGGAAATGGCAACACTGGCATCCTCTTCACTCACACACACACACACACACACACACATAAAAATCAGTGTCTTCAAGTGATTGCCACTTGTTTTAGTGTTCCAGAAATATAAAGACCAATATTCATATCAATCTACTTAACTTTCTGTTTCATGGAACTAAATAATTGCTCATTAGTAGTGATAAAAGAAAACATAGTAACCATAAGATCTAAATTGATCTTTGGCAAAAAATATAAAACTGTTCACTGCCAACAGTATTAAAAGGATACAAATTCTGTTTATATATTTCTTAACTGCAGCTGCTGCAGTACCATTTTTTTCATCGACAAACAAAAGTTGAGATCATGAAGAAGTCTTCAAATCATTCATGAATATAAGATACACAACATGATAATGTCATAAAAATAATAGGAGATTGCATCAGTTAACACAAGAAATACTATGAGGTATGGGCAGGGTACTCTCAGTGGCTTAAATAGGTTCTTCTTAAATAGGGGAAAACTTTACCTGATGCTCTAAGTTGACCAAGCAACTGTGTTCTCATGCCTATGATTATTTCCATGGTAGCTTGTGAAAGAAAATTCTTTTCACAAAAGGCTCGCTCCCACCCATCACTTCGTGCTTTCTGCCATGCCTATAAAAAAAATAATAATTATATAACAAGATATTAATATATATACCAATCACTTCTTAGTGAGGCAGTAAAGTAACTGAAAACACTAATTACTTAAGCTCAAGTCTTCTTATTCTAATTATTCCATTAAATCTAAGATTTTATAATCAAAAAATGTATCATTTGTTAATTTATACCCAAATTCTATGAAAAACATTGAATTTACAAAATCCCAATGAGAACTAAGTGTCAAGTAACCTAAATAACCAGCTATGTAAAAATATGTACCTTCTCAGATGTACCTGCTAATTTTATTCCACGAAAGTGTAGAAAGTTTTCAACTAAGCTATCCTAACACAATTATACATAAGAATCCTGTCACTCTAGTCCTTCAAAAATAATCTCTGTATCAACCTCGTAATCTCTTTGAGAATGGAAAGTAGGATCTCTAGAAACCACCTGTATGCAATATAAAAAAAGTTCCCCTTTGAAAATGGGTTCTCTTTGGAATATAACTGAAAGACCAGAGCAGTGATTTACCCTCTCTGCTTTTGAAGGAACTAGGAAAAAAGCAGAAAAGCAGATAGGAATTCTACTCCAAATCTCCCTCTAACTATTACTCAACTAATCTACTATATGTTATCTAATATACCCATTTAAGAACAATGAATCATCCATTATTCAATAATACAAAAAGGCTTGCTTGCAATTATTTTTAAAAATTATGTATGTCTCAAAAAATTCCTGTATTCCTGAAAGAATACTTTCTGCATAAACAAAGTTAGATTTTAAAAAAATGTATAGGCACAGCCTACATTCATGAGGATTTAAGGATAATAAAATGTCTACCTTTATAAGAAATAATATATTCTTCCCCACATATCTGAATTTCTAAATTACATTTCATTTCTCTTCCTCAGAGTCCCACTTTCCTTATTATTTCTTTCCCATTTATCTTTCTTAAATTTCTCACTGCTATTATCTTAAAAGGTCTTAAGTGATTTTTGCATTTTGCTTTATTAAATTAAGTTCTTAGCATAGTATCTTGAGCACACAAGAAAAAAATGTACTCTAGAAAAGAAATCAATAAATAGATATTAAATTCTATTATAAACTGTAGTGAAGGAAAGGGTATTGTATTTGTTTTTTGGTTGGTTAGCTTTGTTTTCTGGAAAGGAGGAAGGAAGGTAAGTAGTTTTTAAGCACGGTTTGGGCTGCCGAAATGGGAGACCAGGGCAAATGCACCGGGAGGTCTCTGGGCACCTGGTAGCCGACTGTTACAGGGGTGAAGAGCCATGTAGACAAGGGCTCAAAGATAGCACATTTCAAAAATGTGCTTAAGACCTGTGCTGCATCTGGGTTAGGAATAAAAACTTCTGGGTTTTTTTCCCTCTCTCTTCTGCACCTCTTGGCCCCTAATCTACAATCAAGTTTGGGCTACAGATCAGCTATACTACCAGTTAGAAGGAATCTTGTGAGCTGGATTTAGACTTTGATCATAACAAAAATGGGGAAATATTACAACTCGCAACCTATGTTCAAATGAACAA